GTGTGTGTGACCTGGGACGGTGTTCAGCTCCAAGCATCTCCCTGGCCCCATGCAGCAGCTGTTCTGTGGTGAGGTTTCCATGGGGATCAGAGGTGGGGCTGGCAGGAGAGGAGAGCCAGGAGAAGGTTTTTGTGCTGTGCTTTTGTGTCTGGAGGGTCAGGCATCGCTTTTCTGAGGGTGTCTGCGAGGTGAGAAGCTCCAAGGCGTGGGTTTTCCCTGGTGGGAGCAGAGCAGAGCCCTTGGGTGGGTACAGGGCTGACAGCTCTGCTGTGGCACTGGGGCAAGTGGAGACCAGCCAGAGCTGGAGGAAATAAATGATGGGAAGGGATGAGTTGCATCCAGATGTGGGGATTCCTGTGCATCCCTCTTGGGTGCCCACCCAAGATCCTGAGTGGGGATCAGACGTGCACACGATCCCTGTGAAGTGCCAGCTGGGCAGCTTGTGGCTGAGGTGCAGGGAGTGTGAGATTCCTGGGATGTTGTTATCATAGAACAAACCAGAGTTCTTATTAAAAATAACCATGGGAATGAGCACTTTGCCCTGCCTTAGGTGTTAGTGAGACTAATTGGAGCCTTCCCCCCTGGCTCTCTGTGCAGGGAGGTGAAAAGGTTTGGCTACAGCAGATGGGTCCCGTTGTCAGAGGGGCTGGGGAGGGAGCAAAGATAATGTGATTAGGGGTCTCTCCAGCTGGAATTGAGTCAATAAATCTCTCTGGTCTGTTTTTCCCTCTGTTCCTTATGCTGTTGATGGGAATGGAAGTAGGTGCAAGCTTTCTTTTTATTTTTTTAACTGTCTTCAGATGTTAATGTTGCCTTTTGTGTAATTTAATCCCATTATGTTATTTAATTGTTACTGCAATATTAACTACTGTATTTGTTGACTTCGTTTAATAACTGTCTTTCAGGGCTAGAAATAAACTTTTAAAAAACCTTTGGGGCTTTTTCCCCCCTTTTCCCTGTCATGAGTTTATACCTTTGATAACAAGAGCATCAGAAAGGGTTCATGTGTCAGTGTTTTACTGAGATTAACAGAATTTATTTGTAATTAAGCTTCTTATGAGTGCTTTAATGATGGTGGATATAATTTTATGCTATACCAGCCTTTTTCTTTAAAGTTTTATTACTCATCAGTGTCTGTACCAGCCTTGGGATCCCCACAAGCTTTGCTGTGTGTGCCTCCCAGAAAAACTCCGGATCGCTGATGGGAGGAGAGCAGCTCCAAAACACCCTTTTCACCCACTGTGGAAGAGATCCTTTGCCCTCCATGTGGAGGGAGCAGAGCAAACACCAGCCTGGCCCATCCCAGCTGCACCTTCCCCCTCCGCTGGCCAGTGCTGGGGTGGGAGCGATGGGCCCGTAACCTCTGGAGATGTGGTGATGATTCAGGAGCTGCTCCCAAGAGCTCTGCTTTGTTGCACCTTGGGCACCATCCACTGTCCTGCTTATAAACATTATGGCACAGGATCCATGGGAATGGAGCTGTCCTGCTGGCTGCTGGGAAGATTTGGCTCCTGGTTTGCTCCGCCGCCGATCGGTGTTGGACCATGGGAGCCAGGGCACCGGGTGCCGACAGCTCTTCGAGGACTTGGGATGAGATCCATGGTTCCTCTTGGCCTCCAAGGCTGCAGAGAGCCACTTTTGTTTTCCACTGGACCTACAAAAAGGCTGTGGGATGTTTGCCTGCCAGTCCAGCCAAGGACAAGGAGGGATTTGCTTTGGGGTTGAGTCCGGGTCAGTTGGCTCTGGATGAAGTTCCTGCCTCGGTTGTGAATGGTGAGGACTTGGCATGGCCTGTGTTCCCCGTGTGTTGCTGGGAAATGGGCTCTTCCCCTTTCTTGCATGTTGTACAAGCTTTGCTGGTACACTGACAAAAGGAAATGAAGAAACCACTCATCTCCAGCAGCTGCTTCACCCAGACATGAGAATGTTGGTTTGCTCAGAGCCTCTCTCTTCAGGGTTATCAGTTTGTTGTAGTGCCTTTGTCTTCCTATATGATCCACTCTTTGTGCATTTAAACTGGTGTTCTTTAACACTGCATTTAAGTGATTTGGCATTTAATTTCTGGGGGGAAAAGTGGACAGGAGGAGAAGATGCTTAGTGGAACTCAGGACTGTTAGGATTTCGGTACTTGAAGGAGAGCAGGGCTTTGGCTGATTTTGGCTTGCAGGGCTGAAAGTTACAAGTCCTTGGTAAATCCTCCTAAGTCTTGTGTGAACTTGCTCATCCCTTGCACTGAGCCTGAGACTTGGACCTGCCTGAGACTAAACCCAAGAGCAGCCCCATTTTTTGAGATCAGCTTATTCAAGATTGGGTATTTAAAACATTGTTCTTGCAGGCAGTCAATTTGGGGGCAGCAATTCCTCCCTTTCAGGGCTGCTGTGCAGCTGCAGTGAGTTACTGCAGAGCTGAGCACAACTGTTTGGACTGCAGCAGGAGCACGCTGGTTAAAACCAGGGTGGGTGAAAAGTGAGGATCCTCCTTAGCAGCATTTTCATGGTGGTGCCTGAAGAGCATTGTTGGGTTTCAGTGCAGTTCCAGTGGTTCCTGTGCTGGAGCATTGTGCTATCCATAGATCTCTGCTCCTAGGGATTTGTACAGCTGCATTTTTTCCCCTTTTTAAATATAACTTGCATTTTCCTCTCAAGATTATTTTTAATAAAAACAGCTGTCCTCAGTCATGTGAGAAAGCAACATGTAAGTTTGCTGAGCTCAGCCAAACTCTGGCTGTTGCTCCCCAGATGTGTGGAGGAAGCAGGTTCTCTAAGAGCTGTTTGCCCTGCTTTGAATCCAGCCTAAGGACAGGTTTCTTTTCCTTGAAGGAGGGAATACCACCAAGTGAGAGCAATGACTTTGTGACTTCTCTGCCTGCAGGCTGTCAGGAGGGAGCAGGGCAGCACCAACACAGCTTGTCTTGCTTTTCCCAGCTGGTGTGTCCCAGCAGTGGGAATGTCCTCCAGCACATCATCACTTCAAATCACAGATCAGTAAGGCTGGAAAAGACCTGTAGGATCATCAAGTCAAATCCATCAAGATTTCAAATCCCCGTTGACCTGAGTGTTAAAACAGCCCATAGGGACCAGTGGTTTGGGTTTTCTAATGGGATTTTCCCAGTGGGAAGTTAGGAGTTGCTCATGCTCTTTCAGGGCTCCCAGACTTCTGCTTTGGAGCTGTGTTGAGTCAGTGCAGAGGAGGGAAGAGCAGACAGGCTGTGTCAAGGCATGGATGTGTCTCAATGCATGGGGTCCACGTCCTGGTGTTCCCTGGAGGGCTCGTGGGCAGTGAATCCAGCTTGGAACAGCTGTGGATCAACACTGAGGACACTGACAGGACTCAGGGCAGCTCCTTGGAATGGTCTGGAAGGGAGATATGTCCTCACCATGTGCAGGGATGACCTTCCTCAGGACAGATTCTTCTGGGATTCCTTGAGCTTTCTAGACCCAAGGATGGCCCATCTTTGTTATTTTTTTCCTCTCAGTGAACGTTTGTTCTAAGGATTTGGGTTCTTTCACAAAGCACAATTAACTCTTGGATCCCCTGGAGCCCTTTTCCTGCCTGACCACGAAGGGAAACCTGCCCCAGGTTCCTGCTGCCTTGTCACAGCAGCTGGGAACACGTGGCTGTTCCTGGAAGCTCTAATCTGCCCTCTGCCCAGTGAAACTTCCCTTAAATAACCTTATAACTCTTTTTTTTTCTGTAGCTGTTGCCTCTTTGAGGGCAAAAACAACAAGGGAGCTAGGGTGGGTCTGCTCAGCTCTTGTGACCCTTCAGTGTTTTTGGGGAATGTTTATTTTGCTGAAATCTGGAAGTGCCAACTTGTTCCTGTCCAGTCCTTAAAATCTGCATTTTAAGCTCTGAAAGCATGTTTGGTTTGGAAGGACACTGATGTTCCAGCTACAGAAAAAGGGGTTTTTGGTGGGAATATTGGAATTTTTATTTAGTTTTGTTCCTAGAAGAGCAGCCCTGCAAAGCTGCATGGAGTCTGCTGTCAGCACTAACACAAATGAGAGAATGAGCCCCTGGCCTTGTTTAATCCCATAGTTATCCTTGGAATCAACAGCTCCCAGCTCCTCTCTCCACCCTGGGTTAAACATCCCACAACTGTGCCATGGGCAGAATTTTAAGCAACGGGTGGGAAATAGTTTTTAAACCTTGGAATGTTTATTTCCTAAGGCCCAGCTCTTACAATGGTTAAGAAGAAGGGGAAAATCCATTTCTGGGGGAAGGAAGAGATGTTGGAATTTCTTTCCCAGTTTTACCAGTCTGTGTCCTGTGATCTGGTGGTTCTCTTTCAGGGACTGGATTCGAGCTGTGTTGCTGGGTCCTTGTGAGGTTTTGTTTCTAAAGAGGAAACTCTACTGGTTTCTCTACTCCTGGGAAACACAGGAGGAGGGAGGGGAGGTGGAAAGAATTGAGTTGGATTGTGATGTTAGGTATTTTATGGTTGGGTCTGCAGTGAGTGGTGGCACTTCTGCTGCAGATCAGGGAATGACCCAGAAGACACATCATGTGTTGTTTACTGTGGAATCCCAGAATGGTTTGGGTTGGAAGGGGCCTTAAACCTATTTCTCTCCACCCCTGCCATGGGCAGGGACACCTTCCACTAGCCCAGGTTGCTCTAAGCCCTGTCCAGCCTGGCCTTGGACACTTCCAGGCATTGGAGCCAAGCAGAAAGAAAATGGAAGTTTTTTGTTCCTTCTGGAAGAGCTGTCCACTCTGGGGAGCTGCTGTGGGCTCTCAGGTGTGAGTGCTGGGGCTGGGGGCTCAGTGCCTGGTGGAAATAACACCAGGATTTGCTGGGACAGACAACTTGGTGGCAGCTCCAGCTGCTGTGAGTCCAGCAGCTCCCTGTGGCACTGCCATTGCCCCGTGGGGGCCACACGTGTGGCCTTTCCCAGGCCTGTCGGGCTGTGCCACGTTTGCTTTTGCTTGGCTTTATAAAGAGGAGGTGCAGGAGCTTCCTCTGCTCCTTCCCAGACTCTGCCCCCAGCACAGCCTTCGCTATGGATGGCTTGAATGTCTCCATTGCTTTTTTCTTCCTGGTTTTTGGGCTGTGCCAGGTGCTCAGGTGGCTTTCCAAGAGGCTTCTGTCCCCTGGGACACATGGCTGCCTTGCCAGGGAATTTGCTGGCTCGTTCCAGCTGTGCATGAGCTGCCTGGAGCTGAGGATGCTGATGGACATCGGCCCCTGGGGTGGTGGCTTTGGCCTGGACGTGCTCCTGACCCTCCTCTTCCTCCTCTCCACTGTCCACGGTGCCTCTTTGGACGGAGCATCCGCCAACCCGACCGTGTCCCTGCAGGAGTTCCTGCTCCTCGAGTCCAGCCTGGCAGCCACAGCGGCCAAGCTGCTGGCCCAGGGTGGGGGTGCAGGGACGGGCTGGGCTCTCACCCGGCTCTACTGGTCCTGGGAGCTGAGCCAGCTGCACTTCATCCAGAACCTGATCGCGCCCGAGTGCAGCTCCTCCATCCGCACCTCCCTGCCCCACGCTGCCTTCGTGGAAGGCTCCTGCTCCTTCCTGTTCCACCTTGTCCTCCTCAAGGTGCGACAGAGTCACCCCCTGTACCGGGTCCCTGCGCTGGCAGCCACTGTCACCTTCCTGACCTACGCAGGTGAGCAGCGCTGGTGTTTCTTCTCCCGAGTTATTTGGAAAAGTACCTCGTTTGTGGGGGAGGAACAGCCCCCGTTTTTCATCCCCCAGGACTGGAGAGGTAGGGGTTAACAAGGTAATGACTACTAAGGTGTTTGTTTTCTGTTCTTTTGGGGAGTGTTCATTTTGGGACGAAGATGGCAGTTTGGGCTATCTGGGCTCCAGGTGAATTTTGGTTCGCAGCCGTAGCTCAAGACTGGGATCACCTCCCTGGAACCTCCCCTACTGCAATCCCTCGGTCCTGCACTGAGCTTTCCTGCTTCCCACAAAGCTCAGGGTGACAAGGGTGGGATTTCCCCAGTCTGAGAAGGCAGGCAGGAGGGGTCTCAGCCCTCTGTCAGTGTTCCAGAGGATGCCGTGGGACTGTTGGCCATGTTTCTCTTCCCACACAGCCGGACCGTACACTGGGGCCTTCTTCAACCCTGCCCTGGCCACAGCCACCACCTTCCACTGCTCGGGGAGCAGCTTCTGGGACTACATCCAGGTGTACTGGCTGGGGCCCCTCGCAGGTGAGATCTTCCCAGGGGGCAGGAGCTGGCACGGGGGCAAGGCAGAAGTGCTCAGTGTAACGTGAACTGTTCTGGCAAAGGGCTGAACTTGGGGTTGCCGGTGCCAAGTGTCACTGTTCATCCTGCCTTGTTGACTCTGGGGTCATCTCTTTGCTGTCCAATTTTTTAAAATCCAACTTCTGTGTGGTACAAGGGCAGAAATCTCCCTGAAGCCAGTCTGGGGGAGGTTTAGCAAAGGTGTTTCAGGGCAATGGCAGGCTGAGCTATGCTTTGAGGTTGTCCCCAGCTCCAGCGTGGTCATGGGGAGCTGGATGTGAGCTGAGACTGGAGCCAGGTGGGGGTCGGGCTCTGCCACCAGGTAACTGATGGGACAAGAGGAAACGGCCTTGAGTTGCCCCAGGGGAGGTTTAGGTTAGGTAATGAGAAAATTTCTTCCCTGAAGGGTGGTCAGGCACTGGCACCCTGCTGAAGGCAGTGGTGGGGACATCATCCCTGCAGGGATTTAAAAACCTGGATGTGGCCCTTGGGTCAGGACCAAGGGTGGCCTCGGCAGCACTGAGGGAATGGCTGGGCTCGATGGGCTCAGAGGACTTTTCCAACCTTAATTATTCTCTGCCAGAGAACTGGGGTGGTTTATGGGTCAAAACAAGCATTGTTTGTTCTGTTAAGGACAGAGTGGTAAATTCTCCTTAAAGCAGTACAGCGAGGGTCCCTCAGCTCTCAGTGGGGACTTCAGCAGTGCTGGGCTGCCTCTTGGTCACGGTGAGGGTTGTGACAAGGAGCCAAAACCGCTGCTGAGCTGTGGGGAGGGTGGAGATGCTCCACACAGCGCTCGGAAGGGGTCTGTGCTCTCATTCCAGGGATGCTCGCTGCCCTCCTGCTGTTCCAGGGCAACATCCCACGCCTCTTCCAGAAAAACCTCCTCTACAGCCAGAGGAGCAAATACAAGGTGCCCAAGGCAAAGGTGACAGCGCAGGTGGAGGGTGACAAACCACAGAAGAAGAAGAAAGGAGGGAAGAGCAAGTCGGAGCCCCGTGCCTGAGCCCAGGAGTCCTGGCAGCCCTTTTCCCGGGAAAGGGTTTCCCGGTGTGGAGGATTTTGCAGCTCGTTCAGTCCTTAAAGCATCACAAAGGAATCCTCGCAGGATGCCCGAGCCCCTGAGCTCCTTTGGGAATTGCTTCAAAAGCCTCCCTGGAGAGTTTGAAATGTTTCAAGCCCACACTGCTGCCTCTGAGAGAAAACACGGAACACTTTTGCATAAATTGCTGGTTGTCTTGTACTGCCAGGAATCTTACAGAGAGCTGGGACCGTTCCAGGGGCAGGCTTGAGCAACCCGGGGTTATTGCACCGTGCAATGCCTGCAATAACCCCCCTGGGTCTCTTGCAGCCCTAAAAACCAAGGATAAGCCAGTAACTGCCTTGGACACTTGGGATGGGGAGGAAGCAGGCTTTGATCTTTTGAGTTACTAATGGAAACTTGTTACAAATTGGTGGGTTTTGAGTTAAATGCTGTGGTTGGCATTTGGGTGAGTGATGTCATTCCTGGGAGCCCTGCTGGGAGACATCCCTGAAAATGGGAGTCACTGTGGTGCCCAAACCACCTCTGCCCTGCCTGCTGCCTGCTCTAGAAAGAGGGGAAACACCTTCTGGAAATGGGGATCCTCCTGAGCTGTGCTGGGGCCAGGGCACCCCATGGGAGCTGCAGCCTGGGGGACAGCACAGGGAGATTGTGATGCTCTGGCTGTTCCAGTATCTCTGCCCTGGATCAGAGTTCCTGACAGGAATGACCTGCTCCTATTTCCTGAGGTGCAAGCAGGGAATAAGCAAGTGGCACCCAATGAAAACCTGGAGTGGAGGTGTCAGGTGCAGGTTTAGTACCCAGTGTCCAGCCCTGCTCCTCCCTCCACTCTGCTGTGTCCATGGGGAGACAACCCCAGGGTGCTTCATGGTCTCTGGGCTGCCCATCCCAGTTGATTTCCTCTGGGATTGCCCTCTGGAGGGACCTGCAGGACCCCCAGACCTCTGACACCATGAGCCCACCCCACATCCCAGCAGGAGAAAGGAGGGAAGGGACTGACACAGCCATACACGGGTGTGTCCCAGAGATGAAACTCCATGGAACCCCAAAGCCATGGAGCAGAATTCCCAAACAGTGCCCTCTCCTTGTGCTTGGCTGGATGCTTGGCACTGCCCCAGGAAGGGCACTGGGAGCACAGTCTGGCTTTTCTCCTGGTTAAAGTGAGCAGGAGACCTTTGGGTGGAAGCTGAAATCATTGAGACTCTTTGTACCTGCCCCAGGGACACCCTGGGATGCTCAGATCCCCCTGGACATTTTTTTCAGAACCCTTTTTGGTTTGGAAATCGTGCTGACAAGACAGAGATTGGCTGTTTATCCCAGCCAATTTGCTGGCTCTGCTTTTGATTCAAGGAGAAGTGCAGGATGAGAAAAGTCAGGCTGAGTTGCCCTCCACAAGCCATTCCTAACTTGGCCTGAAGTCCTTGAAATGCACAGGCTGAACCTGACAACTCTTGGAGGGGAATTAAAAGTGCTCCAAGGCAAAAGAGTTCACTGGCCACGGGAGAACCTGCTCCTCTGGGGATGTGCTTAGCCTGGGTTTTGGTGCTGTAAAGCATCAAGAAATGGTGAGCAAAGGGTCTGTGATTAGGAAAAAAAAAAAAAAAAAGGAGACCCAGGCAGCTGCTGTGCATCCCTGAGCTCTGCTCCATGACTACATGAAATACTCCTAACTATAAAATTACAGTTTGTGGGGAAAATAAAAGAAAAAAATTTATCCCAGCCAATTTGCTGGCTCTGCTTTTGATTCAAGGAGAAGTGCAGGATGAGAAAAGTCAGGCTGAGTTGCCCTCCACAAGCCATTCCTGTGGGATCTTTCCCAGGGCACAGATATTCCTGTGGCAGCTCAGAGCGGTGGGTTGGGCTGCAGAGAGGCTCCTGCCATGTCTCCCTGTCACAGAGGGGTGGAACTTGAGTCTGACACTGCAGAATAGGATGCTGATCCTATAAATTCAGCATCCAAAGGCAACTTGTAACCACAGAGTCAGCACAAAATAATGCTGGGGGCTCCCTTTTTTCTGGTTTGGTTTTTTTTTTTTTTTTTTGGTTTTGTTTTTGTTTGTTTGCTTGGAGTTTTTTTTGGGGGGTTTTTTTTAGGTTTTTTTTGTTTTGGTGTTTTTTTGGGGTTTTCCCCCCTGCTTTTCAGGACATATTAGGACATCTTCAAATGTTTGGGGTGTGCTTCTGGGGCTTTTGGGGAGGTCGTCTACTGGGGCAGACTGATGTAATTAAGAGGAATTTAAGGAGTGACAGTGACTGTTGTTATTTTTAATTAAGAGGCTGCTTTTCCAGCATGGCAACATCAACGGAGCCGGGGCGAGGTGCAGCTGCACAGACAGACAGACAGACAGACCCGTTCCCACGCTGTAAATCAACCCCACAGCTCTGTTTACAGCTTGGCCCTGTTCTGTCGCAGGGTGCAGGGCTGATATTCGCGCTGCCCTCCTGGACCCGCTCCTCGCTGCTGGAGCCGGTGCTGTCCTGAGGCTCCAGCTGCTCTCTGGGGGGATTTCCTTCTGGAATTCCAAAGTCCTGTCCACCCCCTGGGACCCCCTCTGCAGCCCGGGCAGCGCCCGGAGCTTGTGCAGGGACAGGAGCAGAGCGGGGCAGGGACGGAGATGCCCGGGCTGCCTGGGCAGCACCGCCAGCCCCGGGAGGGCCGAGCCTCGCTGTCCTGAGCAGATGGAGAAGGATTCCGAGGCGGGGCTCAGTCTCCCCGGTGCGGCGGGGCCCGGGGGCTCCCGGGGGGCGGCGGGGGGAACTGCTTCTTGTAGAGCAGGCTGCTGTACTGCAGCTCCGGCGTCACCAGCCGCCGGCAGGTCCGCTCCAGCTCCTGGGGCAAGCCCTGCTTGAGGTTATAGCCCAGGATCCTGGCCCCGCCGTGCTGCAGCGGGCGCAGGGAAGAGTCCTTGATGTCCTTGGGGGCCACGCTGCCCGCGCCCTGCAGGCAGGCCCGGGCCAGCTCGGCCTGCCGCTGCCGCAGCGCCCTCACCTCCCGCCGCATGCGCTCCCGGCCGATGGCGCGGTCGATCCTTTCCCAGAAGGTCCTGTTAAAGTGCGTGTAGATTTCCCAGTCCAGCCTGTTCCAGGCCTTCAGCTTCTCCACCACGGAGTCCGGCAGCGGGGACTTGGTGCTGCTGTCCCTGATGTTGAGCGGGAAGGAGACGACGCTGTCCAGGTCCCAGCACAGCATCTCCTTCAGCAGCACCATGGACTCGTCGAAGTACTCGGAGATGAGCAGAAAGTCGAAGGACGCCTCGATGGCCCTCAGCATGAGCTGCACCCGCTCGGGGGACACGTCTCCGTCGGGGTTGAAGCCGAAGTCGAAGGTCATGAGGTTCCTGGCGTAGTGGCGGTCGCCGCTGGCGGGGTCGTAGTAGCGCCAGGGCTGGCTGAGGAACTCCTGCAGGCTGCGGACGCGTGAGAAGGCCGACGCGCCCTTGTAGTACACGAAGGAGGACTCCATCAGCTGCACGGGGTTCCTCAGGATGGAGAAGTACACGGCAGAGCTGGGCACCACCTTCTGCACCTGCGGAGGAGAAAAAGGAGGGTTTGAGGGTGGGGCAGGGAGAAGGGGCCCGCTCGCCCACAGTGCTGGTGAGCAGAGGCAGCTGCTGGGGCTGGAGTGGGGGGTGCTGGGGAGGATTTCAGGGTGCAGCCCATCAAAGGAGCTGTGGGGAGCTCCAGGAGACTCACACGGGGAGAGCAGCGAGCCAAGCTCCCCACAGTGTCACAGCTGTGTGGCCGAGCTGGGATGGAGATACTGCCCATCTCCTTCCCTCTCCCCGTGTCCACCTGCCCTCAGATGGCACCCACAGGGGTGGATGCTGGGCATGGCTGACACACTTTGGTTGTTCTCCTCTTGCAGCTGGTCCCCTCTGGGCCTGTCCAAGGAGCAGGACATGCTCAGGCCCAGGGCCCACCAGACAAGAAGGAGATGAGAGTTGCTGGCTGCTACAAATGCTGTCTCCCACTTTGCCATGGCTCACAGCACAGGGCTTCATCAAACCTGCTCACGGAATCTCTCAGGAGGTGCCATCAACATGCCAGATACCTGTGGGCAATCCTGACTCTCTTTAGTTCATTTCTGCAGTTTATTTGCTCGACAGGTGCCCCTCCCTGTGCCCCAGGAGTCCCTCTCCCCCTTCCCTGCCCGTGCCCCCGAAGGGTGGCAGCTTTGCCCATACCTCTGGCTGCAGGAACCGCATGTGGTGGCAGAGGATGTTGAAGCGCCGGGGGCTCAGAGGGGAGAAGCCCTGCACGAACCTGGCCAGGAAGTGGTGGGGGTAGTAGAGCTGGAAGCCCCCGCCCTGGGGGAAGGCGAAGGTGAGGTTGTGCGTCTCCCCGAAGCGGAACAGGATGTTCATGACGGTGCTGCTGGCGCTCTTGTGGACTTTCAGGAAAACAATGTCAGTCTTGGGCTTGCACGTCTTCCCTTGAGAGGTGACTCCTCTGGCCTGCTGGCCTTCTCCAGCTATTACCTCCTTGACCTCAAAGGCTTCTGTCCAGCTTGGGAGAAATCCTGTCTCCAGGTCTGTTTTGTAAGAATCCTCTGCCTGCAGAGGTTGAGCTGAGTTTGGGACGGGCTGTGTAAATGAGATGCCCCACTCAGGGTGGGGAGAATCCACAGGTCGAGGCTGAGTCTGGCTCTGCACCTCCACCTGCACCATTCCGGGTGGGGACATTCCCCTCTGCTCCCCTGTGCTCAGCCTGTTTGCAAAGATGATGAACTTGCTGGTGACAGCTTCTGCCAAATCTGCGGCGACCCTCCCGGGAAGGCTTGGAGAAGGACTTTCTCTGGCTGCTTTTTCCAGGCCAGGAAGCTGGGGTTTCAGCTCTGTGGGTGACAGAGGGGCTCTCACCTTCTCGCTGGTGTCCCCAGGCTGCTGCATCCAGCGCTCCTCTTGGCTGCTTCCCGGGGGGGTCTCCTGTCTGAGGTACAGATGCATCCCGAAAACGTCCTCGGTCGAAGTGAGGGCTGGCTCAGCTTCCCTCTGCCCCTGAGGGGAGTCCTCCTCCCACAGCAGGTCGGGGCTGTGGAGGGCAGAGCCGAGCTCGTGGCCCGTGGTCTGCTGCAGGCCACGCTCCAGCTCACACTGGCAGCTCCTGTGATGGGGAGAACACAATGCTCAGCTGCAGGAGGTGGGAGGACAATGCAGAGGCAGCTCCTCTGCATCCCAGTGAACCCCCTGACCCCCCAAAGTCACCCCAAAACACATTCCCTCCTTTTCATGGGGTGGGTGGCATTGCTGATGGGCTTCCCTGCTGCCCTGAGTGGGGGGTGGGTGCAAGAACTTGGGCTTGATCATCTTGGAGGTGCTTTACAACCTTAGTGATTCTATGAAGAGGAGAAGGACAGGTCAGCAGCGATGTGGCAGTGTCTCTGTCTTGCTGGAGCATGACAGGACAGTGGAAG